GCCAAACAAATTAGTCTCAGACATTGGCAAAAGTCTTTTTGAACCCAAAGTGTCCCTCTGAGTCATGGCACTCGCCAAGAATTAGCCTCTTTGTAGATTTTGCAAGGAAAATGAGCGATAACGAATTCCAAAAACCAAGCAGCATCATACACATGAAACCAGATAGTCTTTACCTCGAACCAAAAGCAGAATTGCAACTCGAGTTCCACCAAATAAGAACACAACAAAAACTCACAAGTGACAATGTTGGAATAGTCTCATCATCATCAACAATGAACCAATGTTGAATCCCTATCGGGCGCTCAACGCCCAGACTACGAATGGCAGATTCTATCTAGCCTATCTACAATGCGGCTGCTGACGTCAACAACTTCCCGAAGTACGAGCAGATCTCGGCCAATGTCGTTCGCATCGAGCACCAGGTATGTCCCACGCTTCACTCACGACCTCCATCCCCCACACGTATGCCATGTGCACTCGAAGACCACCATGCGCCCCATCCAGCAATGCGCAGGTCTGCTTGGCTATGGAAGCCTGCTTCTTCCTTGCTCGCCAGTGAGCGAGTCGGGACTTGTGTTAGCAGTTGGCGCAGCAACGCTTGCCCATAAGCAACGAGTGCCTGCATGTCTAGCCAGCAGCCAGGCCCTTTCCTTCATGGAAAGTGGTTGCCGGTCGTGGGCTGCCTGGCTGGCTTGGGCCTCTCCCAGGAAGCTTCTGGTAGGCCCCAAGTGGCTGAGCCCCTGTACCAGGGCCTGGGGAGGTTACCCGTGTCCAACGGCCAAGCGGCCTGTGTTCAGTTCGTGCTGTGTGTCTAGCCCAAAGCTTGCCTCAGATACATTTGGAAAAAGGCAGGCAAGGCCTGGGCTCACTCAACCAGTTGACGCAGCGCAACTGCCTGAATTCCCTCGTTTGCAACCAATGCCAAATATAGGCCTCTTGTCATTTGGCAGGCCTGCCTTCACTTAGGGCGGCCATGCATGCTGAAGATAGGGCCGAATAGGGCTCTCCAAGGACAAGGGGCTCGCGTTCCCTCCTCCATACTTGGATAATCCTCTGAGAAGTTCAATCAATCTGGCGCTTTCCTTTTTGCAATGACTTCTCATAGTGAGCGACAACCTGTGGAGCGGACTGCATTAGTTCCTCCCTCGTAAACCATATGTCCTCCTTTGGATCGGCGTGATGTCGGAACCGAACTCGATATTGCAGCTTTGGCTTCGGAGGACGACCCCTGCCTGTCGGTTTTGGAACCAACATTTCCCTGTGGTCAACAATGTCGTCAATGTCGACCTCTCCATCCATGGTTGGGGGCAACATTGACCGACGAGAGGGGATTTGGTCAGTTTCTTTGAAAGGTGCAAGTTTGGAGGCGTGAAAAACAGGGTAGGTGCGAAGGTGACCAGCGATTTGGATAACGTAGGATGGTCCGTCAGGTTCTTCTCCAACGATGTCTAGTACCTCTCAAGGTCCGAAATACTGTGGCATAAGTTTGCGGGAGATCCCATGCTCCTGCCCCTGTTTAGAAGCTTTGACCTAGACTTTGTCCCCTACCTGAAATGTAGATGGGCAGCGGTGCTTGTTCTCAGATTCTATCATTGCCGCCTGTGCTTTATGCATGTTATCCACTGCTTGCTGCATTAACGATAAGCAAATTCCAGAGTGCCTGGCGCAGCAGTGGGCTGGTTCTCAGGTAGCAGGAAGTCCAGAGGGAGTCTAGGCTTGATCGTTAGTAGCAGGCTGTTAGGATTGACCCCGGTTGCGCTGTGAATTGCGTTATTGTACAGACTGGAAATGAGAGCAAGCTTCACATCCCAGTCCACCTGATTAGGCTTAATGTAATGCCTCGACAGGTGCTGTACAACGTGGTTCATTTGCTCCACCTGTCCATTCGCCTCTGGGTGATTTTCAGAGGTCATCTGCAGTTGCGTTCCTTGTTGGGCAGCTGCTGCCTTCCACAAATCGTTGGTAAATCGGACATCCCAATCGTTGACTATAGACTTAGGCAAGCTGAAGTCTCTGACCCAGTTTTCCTTAAACAACTTGATGGCTTACTCGGCCTTTGCTGTTTTCGGCATAGCTACTAACCTAGCATACTTACTAAACCTATCCACAATGATGTAGATATACCTCATACCACTCTTGCTGGTGACCAGCGTATCCATGAAATCCATAGACAGGCTTTCACCGGGCCTCTCCGGAACCTGAAGGGGCTTGAGTAGCCCAAGAGGAGCCTGTGTCCGAGGCTTGTCGCGTTGACAGACTTGGCAAGTCTCAACATATAGTTTGGTATCCTTCATCATCGTGGGCCACTAGAAACGCTGCAACAATTTAGCTGGAGTCTTTTTATACCCAAAATGTCTGGTGGGGTAGTGACACTCTCCTAGAAAGAAACTACGCACTCTCTATTGGGTATACACATACGTTTATTCCTTGCCTTCTCGTGGAACAGCAGGCCATTGACCGATACAAACTCATCGGAGGTGACCTTGTCCTTCGCCTCGAGTCTGTGTATGATGTCAGCCATGAACGGATCCTCGCTATAGGCTTCCACCAAGGATTGAGTCACATTGTCCGCAAGCCCGAACTCAGTAACCAGTGCCCCAAGGAAGTCTAGTCTACGCGATAGCACATCAACAACCTTGTATACTCCCCTTTGATATACTGCGGTTCAAAGTCATATTGTTCTATGACTTCAATCCAACGTTTCAAAGCATCGGAGAGTACAGGTTGGGTCTTCATCCACCTCAGGGTCTGATGATCAATCTTGACGTAGAAGAATCGCCCAAGGAGGTAGTGCCTCCAATGAGTCAGCGCTTTGTAAATCACGTGGAGTTCCTTCTCATATGTGGATTTAACCAACTTTTGAGAGGGCATCTTTTTGGACATGTACTCTATGGGCCTCAACTTTTTCCCCTCCTGCTGTGCAAGCACGACACCAATGCCATATTGGCTGGCATCCGTGGTCATAACGAATGGTTTGTCAGGATCAGGAGGTTTCAAGACCTCATGGTGTGTCCACTCCCAGGGGGTGTCAAGGAGTGTGAGATCCGACAAGGGTGCAATCACTATGCTATAGTTCTTCACGAAATTGTGGTAGTAGCCAATCATCCCCAAGAAGGATCTCACGTTAGTCACAGACTGAGGACGCGGCCAATCACGAACGCTGGCCACCTTCGCGTCATCGGGCTTCAATCCCTCCACGGTACAAGATTCGGGTGCGACCAAACTCGCACTTCTCCTGGTAAATCTTGAACTGGTGCTGCCGTAGGAGACTCAATACTTTATCTAGATAGGCTACATGTTCTTCGACAGTCCTACTAAGATAAGTATGTCGTCGAGGTTCACGATGACAAACTTATCTAAGTAGTCATGAAAAATCCGGTTCATCGCGTGCTGAAAGGTGTCAGGAGCATTGCAAGGACTGAAGGTCAACTTTTTCCCCTCCTGCTGTGCAAGCACAACACCAATGCCATATTGGTTGGCATCCGTGGTCATAACGAATGGTTTGTCAGGATCAGGAGGTTTCAAGACCTCATGGTGTGTCAGGGAATGCTTCAGATGTCTGAAACCAGCCTCAAACATGTTTGTCCACTCCCAGGGGGTGTCAAGGAGTGTGAGATCCGACAAGGGTGCAATCATTATGCTATAGTTCTTCACGAAATTGTGGTAGTAGCCAGTCATCCCCAAGAAGGATCTCACGTCAGTCACAGACTGAGGACGTGGCCAATCACGAATGCTGGCCACCTTCGCGTCATCGGGCTTCAATCCCTCCGCGGTGCAAGATCCGGGTGCGACCAAACTCGCACTTCTCCTGGTAAATCTTGAACTGGTGCTGCCGTAGGAGACTCAATACTTTATCTAGATGGGCTACATGTTCTTCGACAATTCTTCTAAGATAAGTATGTCGTCGAGGTACACGATGACAAACTTATCTAAGTAGTCATGAAAAATTCAGTTCATCGCGTGCTGAAAGGTGCCAGGAGCATAGCAAGGACCGAAGGGCTACACCACAAACTCGTACAGACCATACCTGGTTTGAAAATCGGTTTTGTGTTGATCCTCGGGCTGGATTGCAATCTGATGGTACTCAGACTTCAGATCTATCTTACTGAAGTATCGACACCCTTGCACTCGGTCCAACAAGTCATCGATGCGCGGTAGGGGCTCTGCGTTCTTCACAGTGATCGCATTGAGACCCCTATAGTCAATGCACATCCTCAATGTTCCCCCCTTCTTCGGTACAAATAGGACAGGAGACCCGTAAGGGGAGACACTCGGTCGGATCCAACCCTTTCTCTATGAGATCCTTGAGCTGCCGACGAAGCTCATCAAGCTCCGCTGGAGGCATCCGATAGATCCTACCCTTCGGAATACTAGAACCTTGGATAATCTCTATCGCCTGTACAACCTCCCTCTCAACAACCTCTTTCGTCTCTTCAAATAGATCCGGGTATTTAGCAACCAGTCCCTCTTATCTCTGGAGACATTCTCACCGGCTCACCCTCTGCAGAGACATACACTAAGTACATACCCTCCTCCGGATTTTGCTTATAATAATTATAAAACGCGGTCACACACATGCATCCGTAGGACTCAACCTGACTACTAGCTTTATACTTTCGTAATCTGGCGGTCCCTCCTCCAGGCAAAGTGTGCTTGACCACTTTTCGGTCCCAGTCAAACTGGGGCTGTGCAACCGGAAGATAGTACATACCCAGCGAGATATCCATAGGGAGATCATTGCCGACTAGAAACGAGATTTTATGTCTCAGTTCCCCTCCCGCGTACGGGAAACGGCACTTCATCTTTTAGGTAGTCATTGACTACCATGCGCTGTTTGTTGGCACAAGTCGACTCCACAGGTCAACTGAGGCGCTACACTTGCCCCTGTAAGTGCAACTGTTCAACACAAGCACGACTGATGAAGTTCCTCGTCGAACATGTATCGTAGAAGGCCCTTGACTTACGATCGCCTATATCTACTTCGTCGATGAACAACTCACCCTTAGGAGCTTTAGCCATTGCCTTCCAAGAAGCTAGTGGGTTTGATCTAGAGCACTCCTCCTCTAGCTCCACTAAGGACTCGAACACATTCATCGAATAAAGGATCGATTGGTCCGAACGTGCTTGTGGGACGATGACAGAGTCAATAGTTTGGGCCATCTCTCGAGATGGTGAGGGTGTGCCTGCCACCTCGACCCTAGCAGGAACAACTATAATTCCTACTGGCCGATGCGTTTCCCAAAGAAGTGCCAGAACTGCTGGCCACACGACGGTTGGCCCATTGTAGGCGGGATCTTTTCTGTCACTTAAAGATTTCGGCACTTGAACTGCGTATGACCATACTGACCACAACGAATACAAGCTGCACGGGAGTAACGATCTCTCCACACGTCCTCCGTAAGCCCCGCTTTCTCCCATGGAGGAGCATTGGGGTCTATTTGACTCTTTGACCAGAAACCTCCACAGCGTCTACCGGTCGCCTTACCTTTTTGAACTGAGGCAGCGACTGCTCCACCCCCTGAAGCTTCTGCGCTACCCGACTCTGACCCKACTCCCATCTGGAAGTCGTCGTCGAACTCTATGGTAGTACCGTCGTTGTCGACAAACATTATGTGCCCCTTGGCCTTCCAGTTAGGAGACCGTGTCTTTTTCCCACCATTCGTTGTGGGTTGGTGCCCATGCCCGGTCTTTGCCTCTAGATCTAGGGCCTTCTTGCTGAACGAGGGGAAATTGTGGACCGTGGTAATGGCCTCGCTTGCCAACTGAGTCTCGATCTCCGTAGGGAGGCACCTCAGGTAAGTGGTAAGTAAGACCTGGGGATTGTAGTGTACACCAGGAACACATATCAAACGCTCTACCGCATCTGTCGTATCCCTTACTGACTTGAACTTCCTTGAGCTCAGGGTCAATATCTCGTTGGTGGCCTTTTGAGCCTCCTGCGGGTCGTGCCACCTTTCCTTCACCAACTTGATGAAATCTTCCAGTCTCTGGGTGACTGCCCAAGCGTGGAAGTCGTGACAATATCCCTGTAACTGCACGTACCCGCTTAACCACCTCGATGCACTTCCCTCAAGATAGGAGGCAACCACAAGTACTTCCTCGTGAGGCAAGGTTAACTTGCACTTCACGTAGACTGATTCAAGGTCCTCACCCTTTTTATCACCCGAGAACGGCTTGGGTGATGCGATGTCAGTCTTCGGAACCAATTGTCCTTGTCCTAGAGCCTGCGCAAATCTAGGCTGTGGGGCCAAGGGTGCAGGCTGCTGCACTTGCTGTTGTTGGGGCTGTGTGCCCTGTGGCTGTGCTGGCTGCGAGACGACAGGCTGCTGTATTACTACAGTCTGCAACGGAGGTTGGGAGAACACTTTCTGAACAAGAATCTGTACACTAGGACCTGCTGAGAACCCGCCTGTCAAAGACATAACCAAATGGGAAGGGGGTTGTATCGACACGGAAGAAAGTGTGGATGTGACTACTCCAGTTACCAGTGGAACAAAAGGAGGCTGTATCACAGGCCAGACACCTGGCCCAGATGGTGATGGTGAGGCCTGAACTCGCCCGACCAGCACGACCAGGCTCCTCTAAATGTCTTGCAAGAGAACCATATGGTAGTCCTGCATCTCCACTACATCTAGCAGGGCCGTCCTAACGGTCTTACATCATCATCCATGTTTGTCAAGTCCATCTTCCCTAACTCCCTGATGTCCGCTTGTCTCCGTTGCATTCTAGATCTACGTCTGATCATTCTTTTTTTTTCAGCCTGTATTTTGTCCAATGCCTGCTGTAGCTGTGCCTCATGAGCGCTTGCTAGTTGGATGGCGACCTCCTCGAGAGTTAACACAGTTTGTTGGCTTGCCATTACACCAGCGGATTGACTCTGGGTCTGTGCGACCGTCGCCCCGACAGTCCTGAACTACTGGCCTGGGAACTGTGTTGCGCAGAGGTGGCCATGGTGGCTGCTGAGGTAGCTGCCTCCCTTGCACAAAAGCTCTGATTGCCTCTGCGTCCCTTGCCAACCTTTGTTGACGCTGCCTCTCCGTAGCCTTGCGGAACAGAAGACGGTCTCCCTCGGTTCCTAACGCTACTTGAACCAACGGGAGTCTGTGGCTTGACGAATGCAAGATCCGATCGTTTGGATTATGATACTCTGTGTCGTTCATATGCTACAGCATTGTACACTGTCTGCACTAGGTCACACTTTGTTGCCTACCGCAGCGTTGTGCTCAGACCGATTTAAAATAAATTGTTACGATCCTGGTCATTTCCCAGGTACAAATTCACAATGAAAGACAATGCCACCCAATTGCGAAAGAAATGAAAGCACTTGCAAAGAGATAAAGACCAGAGGTGAGAGAAAGAAGAAGAAGAAGAAGAAGAAGAAGAAGAAGAAGAAGAAGAAGAAGAAGTACACCAGCAAGACCAATGACAATTCCCCCTTCTCTCTCCACCTTCCTCCTCCTCCTTTACTTCACCAATCTTATTCTTCCCTCAATAATAATAATAACAATGAATGGATGAACCAGAATCAATATCCGAAGTTCCCTCTTACTGCTGACTCAACTCAACAACAACAACAACAACAACAACAACCAGTCCACCATAGTTATGGCTCCCCTCCTTCAGCCTCCTCTCTCATGCATAGGCTATGGCGGACTACCCCAAGCAGCTAGGGTGCTGTGCTGATGTCCAAAGGACAACCCAAGCAGCTATGGTGCTGCGCTGATGTCCAAAGGACCACTCAAAGCAGCTATGCCGCTGCTGACTTGGTCCGCTATGCCTGACTCTGCCTCGAGGTTCCCTGGTGCCGCAATACCCCAACTGGGGCCTTCCAGATGCAGCGCCCAACAAGGTGATGAAGATGGTGTCTACCATAGCCAGGTAAGTGCCCCGCCACTCTCCTACTATGCCCCCTTCTTCCTCCTCCTCAAGCTGGAGTGCTCGCCATAGCCAGGATGAGCTCCAGCGACCCTTCACCTCCAAGCAGCGCTGCACCAGTCCAGCGCTGCGCTCCAGCAGCATGTCGCCAATCCTTGCACACCGCAAATGAGGAAGAGCTCTTTGCTCTTCCTGGAGATATAGCGGCCTACCNCCTACCATGCCCCCTTCTTCCTCCTCCTCAAGCTGGACTGCTCGCCATAGCCAGGCTGAGCTCCAGCGCCCTTCACCTCCAAGCAGCGCTGCGCTCCAGCAGCATGTCGCCAATCCTTGCACACCGCAAATGAGGAAGAGCTCTTTGCTCTTCCTGGAGATATAGCGGCCTACCAGCCTCCTGGGCGGTGACTTCCTAGGCCGAGCAGCCTCCCAGCAACTGGTACCTCCTCCCTTTCAGAGGGAAACATCATTGCAGGCTCTGCTATCCTCCCTACAGGCCCTAGACCCGGGCTACTTGGACTGGTACCGACCTACCGCTATCCTACTGCTACTGGGCCTCTAAAAATGCCAACTTTTGTCTTCTTCTGCTCGGCCTCCAGTACCCGACACCCTTACCACTACTTGAGTGGTACCGGTGCCGAGCGCATCGGTCTCGCACGGGGACCCTCCCGGCCTCGTCACGCAGTATTTGGCAGGACTTGTCGCGGAGAGCGTTTGCCGCTTCGACCGAGTGCTCCAACCGTACCTCTCGCGAGCCCCTACGACAGGACAGGGTCACACGAGGCACCACTTACCTCCACCTGCGGGAGCTGTTACCATCCCTTACGTGGGCGTATCCCTGCCGAGCTATTGAAACACATGCGAAAGCTTTTCGTATGCAATTGCAGAGGTGGCCCAGCCGAGGGCGTTTCTTGTTCGCTGTAGCATAGGGGGTACGCGCGGTCAACGCCCAAAATCGAACCGGTACGCGAATTGACGCACTGGGGGGTTGAAGTCCCAAACACGATTCGACGTCGGTCGACTAGGAAACATCCTACATACCACGCGTTACACCACAACACTCACACACATGGAAGGACATTAACAAACTAACACAACAACATAATAATACAACAACACAACAACAGTCCTAGTCCCTTCAGTATTCGACCCATAACGTTATGCTGCGAGAATAAGATAGGTATCGCGCGCTGGTTTTTCGTATAAGAGTCGTGCAAGCGCATGGCCTCCTCATATCGACCAGTCATGCATGAGTACGCAAGCAGTCGCAACGATGGAGTGCTATGTGGTACCCATAATTGCATAATCCTCGATAGTCTCGGGGTTCACGTTCGACACTCAAGTGTCGGCTGATAGGCGCCTTGAGGGGTAACCTCTCGACGCCAGACAACCGCCATGTGCGGTTGAAGACCACACCCTCTTCTGCACCATGTGCAAAGGGGCTGTCGTGGTAAACAAAATCAAAGGGTTTGACTTTGACGGCTGCCACGGACTACAACGTCCAACAAAAAAACTAAAAAGAAAAACAACCGCCGATAGATAGAAACTCCGCTCGACCCATAACATTCCAAGCGTTGAAGTCGAAAAGCGCGAAGCCCGGGTTTTAGTATAAAGTTACGCGGGGGCCGAACTTACGCATACCGATCTACCATGCAGTCCTATGTAAGTAGTCGCGATGATGGTGCATTATGTGGTGCCCATACCCGGATGGCCTCATCTGAGCCATGGGGTTACTTTCGACGCTCAAGCGTCGAATGAAGTGCGCGCAAAGGGGGGTAACCCTTTAGCGAGCGCAAAACCGGCCTGAGGGCCTTACCATCTTCAACACTGTGAGGTGTCCCAAAGGGCGCGGGGTAAGGTGGTCCCTAGGGTGGGAAGGAATTCGGAGCGGTGGTGAGTTGTCTGACGCATCACCAACGGCACGCTAACCCTTCCCCCCGGAACTCTATCGTTCCACCAAAATAATTCTCAACAAGGAAAGGAAGCTAATACATTTAACACTTATCAGAAAAAACACCTTCAGTGTTAAGCCTGGGACCTGGGTCGCCCTGGGCGAGGACCATCGTATTCCAGGCTCAGGGTTAACGTCCGACCAATAATTCTTCAAGACGCATATGTATAAATAGAGGGTTCACCCCCTCCCTTCTATTCATCCAGTCCTTGATTAGGTCCTTAGTAAGCGGGTCCTTCAGGCCACGTTAATACCCCACGTAGGTATACATACATATGTACATATATACAGGGAAATAGATATGTGACGATCACATCTCACAATCACAATGGGACTCCTCATAGCCATACATACATGTGAGATCGCAGGCAGTCCAATCCAATAATTCGAGCGACTTGACACACCTGCAATCACATCAAAGAGTCAAACAAAAGTCCACACACTACACGGAGTCAACTCCAACCAATCTCTATACTCATACCTCTCACTTTAGCCATGCAAGCCCCAACCTCCAACCAACCAACCATAATTAAATACTCAGTACCTTTGTTAAATGGCCATTCAATAAAAATCCGGGTGAAATCTTAACAAAACAATAAAATCACCAGGGCTAAAACCTTTTTAGGTTGAGTATTGAGAATGAATAGGGGTTGAGTCGTAAACGGACGAATCGGCAACCGACCTGTTGTTAGTGATAACAGAAGAATGATCGTTTTGAAGGATCAGGATGAATAAATCAAGCCTTCAATCGCAAATACGGAAACGTGCATCACAGTACAGACCAAAGAAAAGTACTAATGTTTATGTCAAGGGGAGAACATTCCCCTAGTGGTAACCTAGCTGCTCTACTAGTACCAAGCCACTGAAAATCTCCCCTAACCAGGACGAATCTACTAAGTAACCCCTAGCTGAAACATATTCTAACTCCTCAAATTCTACGAAATTTCGGCAGCGCTTCCTGTAGGAACAGGAGGCTGTCAAGATTTATACAAAGCTGAAAAGACAGAAAGACAAAACAACTATACTTGGGACTAACTTCTGACACCTGCTTGATAATTCAACATCAACGACGACTTGCAAAATCTCTAAATGAGATTGTGGGCTAGCATTGATCCTAACTCCTAGCAGGGTCAATCCTATCTTCATCCCAAGTTCTCCCTCCCATCATCCATCTCATCTACCTATGGCTCCAACACTTGGCGAGCCTCTTGGCAGCTAACTTATCGAAAAGACGCCCCGAGTGAGAGCCCGCAAGTATGCATAAGCAAACATCTCTCACAATCCCACATCCATTTGTCCAAGTAGTTCGTCAGATCATTCATTT